GCTTTCTTCGTTGCTTTATGCTACACGAAAGTTCCACAGATTACATTATACATCAGCTCTTAAATGAATACATCGCGTTTCACACGAGGAACTCAATTTGATTTTGGACACCCTGCAGTAGTAAAACCAGTACAAATCCTTCTCCAATTTAAGTAAGAGTCCTTACTTCTCAGTACTATGCGTTCGGCTGCATCTTGACTCAAAGCTTTGTAATTTCTTGAACACGTCTTAATTAATTTTTTAAATGTGAGTGTCAGTATGCTCCTCTGAAACGTCGGAAATACGGCTCACCAACATCAAAAGTAAGATCAGTCTTTAGTACGGGCCACCGCGAAAGCTTAAAATGAGTTAGGGCCAGCCACAGCTTCCTCAGTACAAGAAACCACGTCACGCTGACAAATGTTTCACTTCAGTTACCAGTTTCCATGGAAACGAGACGCCAAATATTCAAACTTCATTATTTTTATTATATTTGTTTTCACGCTCCATAACTTAATCAGTGGATTAATCCTCCGGTGTTAATTACGCGATTCTGCAACAACTTACTAATTTATTTATTTATTTATTTAATTTTTAATAATTCAGAATAAAATTATTAAGGACTATATTTTCGCGTTTAATTCCTGGGTGAAGGTGCGATAGACGTCGTATTACGTTCTCGCGTTCGGCCTCCGCGGTCACTGAATCTCATTCAGCGATTACAAAAGGCGAAGTGGGCACCCTATTACCTTAAAATGCAGAAATCCGCTTATGTTTTTACCCTTGGGAAACTACCTTCACGGCCAGCTTTAATTTAATGATACGTGTGCTAATTTATTTTCAGATATTTTATGTAAACACTAACAAGATTCATACCTTAACGAGGCGAAGTAACTTCTAGAGCGTTGAATTGTTCTTGGATGTGTGTTTTAAACAAGGCACTGCTCACCGTACACTTTAAATGAAATGATTTTCTGTAGCCAACTCCAGTGAAATAAAACCCTTTTTATATAAATCGTGTTTAATATTTCTTATAGAAATTAGTGTCCCCTCGCTGTATACATCCAAAGCAAGTTCTTTAGGCCTGAAGCAACTCTACTATCCAACATTTAAAATTACATTTTTTAATCCTTTCCACGCCAGATTCGTCGCTTGGCAGCGCTGACCTTGCCACAGTGGTTTTGGGCAGCATTTAAAAAGGTAGCCATCTCTCAGCATTTAATGCGAACTATTACTCGCTTTTCGACAAAACAAGATGTCCCGCTACACGCCCTGTACTCGCTTGGGGGGAGAGAGGTCATATAACTCCTACTCATTCTTAACCTCGGCACTAGATGGGGCGGACAGCGGTACCCATCGGTTAGGAGGCTTGGTGGGCCCCAGAGTCGGTCTGGACGCAGAGGCTAGAGGAAAAATCCTCTGCCCCTGTCGGGGATCGAATCTCGGTCATCGAGCAAACAGATGTATACACATTATAATACGGAATATTAACCTTGGTGCTGCGTTTGCCAGGGGGACACAGTGTGGTCTACACTTAGCAGATGCACCGTTTATATTGACCGATGGATAGGACGCAGATGACTCGATGAATATCCTCCAAGATCGCCCGATTTAAGTACACCTGACCTTTTCTTGCGGGGTTAAATGAAAGCCAGCAACGCTTCAAAAGCTCCGACAAGAAATCGGACGTCTTGTTAAGCCGTCCTAGCATAAACTTTGGTGGCCGCTTGTCAGTCAATTGCTCACCCCTGTCAACTGTCCGACGAAGCTAACGATGGTCATTTTAAACACCCGCAGTAGATTCGCTAATTCACTAAGTGTCATTGCTGGCTTACGTAATGGTTCGGTTTATTAAAATATCTTTATTTAACCCAATGGATACGCGTACACGTCTTTTTGTGACAATCCGTGCGCCGTGTTACAAGCCTAAACATTTTCAAGGCCATCCATCCTCGTCACAGCGACCAACAAACGCGTGACCTTGAACTTGTTGCGCCATCTTGGCTCCTTCCTACATTCCTGAACAACCGATATCTGTTACATTCAAGTTTCAAGAACGCGGGCTACTTACGCGCTTATAAAACACGATCCAGAAAGAAAGAGGTGTTAAAATGTAGAGCACGCATTTCCCGCTCCACTCACGCCCTCCTCATTCTATATGATTTTATCTCTTTCGTGGACAGATTCTGATGGCACTCGGTGTGAGTGTTGTGCCACTGGAGGTTTCTAATTTCATACGATCGGTAACAACAACAAAATGGCGGACGGCACGAACTTACGAGGTAGAAGCGATACTAGCGCCACTTAATATGCGGTCCTGAAATATGGAGATCAACAGATCGAAAAACGCGCAAGTCTTGTTAACATAATTTTTTCTGTAGAATGTAAATAACATGGAGAATGCGTGATAATTATATTTAACGGTAATAAATCAACGAAGTTAGACTTTTAAAATTGGTTATGGATATCTATCAAAACACGCCTACAAATTATGTATTAATCAGCGATGTTTGTCGTGAATCTTTTAGGTTATGTCCGATAAATTTAATGTGGACAAAATTTGTACTACAGCAATGAGCGCTTTAAATAAAAATCATATGACGTGTTTGAAACGCAAGCAATATCAAATCGATCACGGTTCGATTAAACTAATCGACCATCTGCGCATAAGTCCAGGGCGCTAGCCAATGAGGAGAACTGCGTTTTGTTGTTCTCTCTGCAAAAGTATCAATATATAGTTGCATCCCTAATTAAGATAAAGATTGCTTTATTTCTGTAAATATCTTTTTTTAATTAATAGGTTAATAGAAAATTTGATTATACCCGTTGTTTTGTACGGGTGTGAAACGTGGTCTCCCACGTTAAAGGAAAATTAAGATAAAATTCTATAAGATGATATATATCGCACTTGGTGAATAGTTTTTAATATGATATAAACTTAAGGTCCTCTGTTCAAAGTTAGGGAATACACGAAAGAGCACGTCTGAAGGACAGAAATGTAGTTTAGGAATTACATTAAAGTTTTTCAGTTGTACGGATGCTGAGAACTAAGCAGATCTGAATGAGATGAGCTCCTCATATTTTATGTAGGCTAAATAAGACAATGTCTTCAACACGGCCACTCGGAGCAGCTGTGAGGAGGACTCAGAACAAAAAAGGTACTCCGGTACGCATTGCAGCCTGCCAATTACGAAAATCGAACCTAACCTAACCTAATCAAAGGAATCTGCTCGTACATTGTCTACGGAGAAATCACTCTGCCGACCAACGGAAGACGAATATTCGAGTACAATATTTTCCGTGTTAAATGTTTTCCAATTATTACAGGTAATCTTCGATTAATAACTTTTTGGGCCGGACGACTGTTCCGAAAAGGGCAGATGTCCATTCAATTCATGTTTTCCTCTACCGGAACAAAACATCATTTGTCTGCGTCAGTCACCTTTACGTTTCGTTTTTCTACGAAAGGAATACATCGGATGAAACTGTTTCTTGCGGAAAAGTCACACTGAGGTGTCGTCAGGTCACGATTTCCCCAGCTTTCTCAGCCAGAACTTCGCCACCACTTGGTGCTATCTGAGGTTCTCATGGCGTCGAGTGTGAATTTGGCCGTCTTGTGGGTTATAGCGCCGTGCAGTGTGGTTGAAACCAACGGACATTTCAGAGGTTCTTCCTGCCCCCATCATCCTCGCGGCCCTGATGTCTGAGGCAGCAAGCACCTCTGAAACGTCGGTAAACATGGCGTAATAACCCAGAACACGGTCATCTTAAAACCACTTCATCCCAGCTCAAGTCACCGTCCATGTTGGTAAAGGGAGTTGTTTTGGAAGAAAAATCCGACGTTTCGGAGCCTGAAGACAGAGGCGTAACGTGAGGTACGGAAGGTGAAGACACTATAGTAAGGTTATCTATTATGAGTTTGCGGGATGGAGCCTTTAAGTCACATAATGGAAAGGTACGTATACCAGAATAAACTGAATTAAATGTTCAGATGTAAAATGTTTCTGCGAGAAAGTGACACAAGCTCCCACTTAAATTTATTATTAAACATATAATTATGTGACTGGTTACGAATTGATGTTCTGACGTGGGAGAGAGGTCAGTCAGTCATCGGCTGTGCTTGTGAAGAAATGTGTTACTTAGGTTAAGTGCCAATTTGACCTTCATCAGAAAAAAAAATCTTAACCGGAGGGAACAGGTGATTCAGCACGACGGGTTTTGCCACCGCCCATCCTCTGATTCGCGGTCCGCATGTTTCTTCGTCCGCACACGAGTTTAAGTAAGCGCCTTACGTCGGAAACTAATTAAACTTTCACGAAAAACAGAAGGTAAAGATTAATCTCCTTGTAAGATTTGAGGTTTTCACATCGGTGAGTATGAAGATTCCTGTCTTCTGCGTTGTTGCGCTGTGTAGTCATCGCCCTGATGATGGAGGCAGCATGACCTTTGAAACGTTTGTAAACATCACCCGGACTACACAGCGCAACAACCCAGAAGACAGAAATCTTCATTAATCTCCTTAATTTTCGTCTCTCGCTGTTCAGAAGATCATCTGTCTTCTGAACATATTTTGAGGGTCATCGTTTCTGTCACAAATTCAACAGAAAATAATTTTGTTCCCTCTGTTCGTATCTCCTGCTTTATTAGCTTATTTTCGACGTATTTTTCCGCTGACTATCGGACGTAGAACATTCAAGCAAAGCACATATAGTACTTTTGCTCTCTTCCACTTTCCAGCCCGACCTACGTTTCAGTAACTATAATTCGCACACCCTGTATTTTGGCACGCAGAGTCTAGTAATGAAGACCGAGCAGTCTGCTTGCTTTACCACGAATATATATCTTCGTCCTGGTCCCTTCTTTTCCGTCTTACCATTCGGCAATCTCATGAAATATTTTTAAAAAATTTCCAGGGATTCGAACCGATTTTGTTTATACATAATTGCCCTCATGGCCCCTCCTCAAGCGGGCTGCCTGTTCTGCTGAGATCTGAACCCACGCTCCTTTTCCTTCGTTCGCAGTCGAAGCTGAACTGCGAGGTGCTGTGGGACGACCTTGCGTTTGAGGTGCGCTGGGCCGTGGCGGGAGACAGCATCGTGTTGCAGCTGGTCAGTAAACTAGGTAAGTCACCGCAGCGCCGTATCCAAGTCTTTTGACACTGTGCGCGTTTCTGTGTGCGCAGACAAAGCAGCAACTTGTCTTGTTCCAACCCTCAGTTCTTTTAGTTCGACGATACACACAAAAAAGACATTGGCAGGGATGCCAACGTAATATATCTCCCTAAGCGTTAGGCCGCCGGCGGCTCACACGGTATAGAAATTGTTCTTAAGAATTTATACCGAGGTCGGAGTCGGATTCGGTACATTTTTATCGCCTCCGACTCTACCTAAAATTGCTTCCGACTCCGACTCCACAGCCCTGCAAACAAGGACCAACCTGAAAAAGGGTACTTTCCCCTTGTCAAGTTTACGAGAAGAAAGACAGTGGGTTGTTTCAGTTTCCATCTCGACATTTGTCTTCAGGGACCTGAGTAAACAGAATCGAACTTTAAGACGCGTCGCTGAAGAATCATGATCTGAAACAAGAAAACGCTTGCTGCTGCCATCTAGTAACTAGGCTACGAGTTTACCATTTTAAATTCTACGATTTGTCTAGAGATGGAAGCACTAATCAAGTACGATTTCTCCTTCACAGTTTAGTGGTCAGAGTGTAAAGGCGAGCGTTGATGTGAAGGTCCGACATCCGCTTTCGAGTAGTGATGCCGCCATATTGTCTCTTTTAATGCATACATTGTATTCGCACAGGGCTGACCTTCGCATCGACGCCAGCCTCACGTCAGTGACAATGAACGCGAGTGTTCTGTTCCAGAGGATGGCGAGTACATGTCTTTCGGTCTGTCCGGGGATGGAACGCGGAGCAAGATGATTGGAGGAGACGTCGTCGTGGCTTGGGTGGACAAGGCCACGCTCAAAGGCTACGCCGTCGACTACTTCTTGGACGCGAAGTCTCAGTGCGCCGGTACCAGGGGCAGCTGCCCCGACGAGAGGCTCAGGGTAACGTTCTTACTTAACGGGAATACATTGGCACTCGACATGAGTGAGAAAGAGTCATCCTACCAACCGCTGACAGACCCAACTATTTGTGGAATTTCAGTAAAGGAAATTAATGAACTCACGCCTCTGAGAAACTTCCGATCCTCACAATCGATCTTTCTCAATTCGAGATACACGCAACCCTCATAACTTCTCGATTTTCCAAGTTGACGTTCCCCCAAGATGTTTCATTATCAAAACTCTGAACGCATTTCTTCTGTCTTTCATCCTAGCCATACGCAAAGACCACTTTAGCCGCTCTGATTTCACTGTCCTGAAATACAGAATCCAATTACGCATTTTAAAGTACTAAGCGAAGAGTTGCACAGATTACGTAGTAAAGTCCTGAATAGCTAACTTCATCCATCTCAGGTCTGAATGTTTGTTGTAAATCTGCTGATATGTTCTTCCTTCAGAGTTAATTGTCAGCCTCCATCAATGTTCTGAAGAAAAGTGGACGCCGTGAGTTGCTTCCAAAAAATTCTTCGTTGTTCCTTGTTTCTCTCTGTACAAGTCTAGCTAGTTGATACAGCGTCTCGTGTTGACAGGAGGGCACTAACAGCGTGCGGCTCTTGAACGCTGCCATGGTCAATGGATACTCCATCGTGACGTGCCAGCGACCCTTGAAGGCGCAGGACGAACTCGACCTCGACATCGTGACGAACGGCAGCCAAGCCGTCATCTGGGCCGTCGGGCCTCTCAACTCCAGGAACGAAGTCTCTTACCACAGTCTCACGAACAAGAGTGCGTTTACCTCGGTTTTGCAACGCAAACTGAATTTACGAATCAGTCCCAAAATGTACTCACCCCCAAGCCCCTCGTAAACTAAGCTAACACACAGCACAGATCGTACTGGGGCGAGAACCCAGATCTCCACAGTGGGAAGCTGCGACTTACAGCCCGGACTGTGAGCTGACCGGAATGTATTTCTTATTTCCCCACACTAGACCAACTTCTTCGCTGTTCTGGTACCGCGTACCTCCTCCTCGTACCTGACATGAAGGATAAGAATGCTAACCCCGCCCAGTAGGACTCCTGTCACGAGCGAGCCAGATGTAATCGTGACTGCGTAGAGCAGATGGAGAGATACAATTCGAATAATGCAGTAATTAAAACTAATTAAAATATGACATTGCGTGTCACATCATGAAACAAGAAATAAATAAAACTGAGGATCCGGGACGAGCTTGTCTTCAGAGTTGCCACTATTCAGTAAAAACCAAAAATATTTTTAAACTTACGAGCAAACTGCAGGAGTGCAAATGATGTCTTCGAGGGTAACACAGATATTAATTTAAAATGCCGGTGCATTCTTCTTATAAGGAAAGGTCGAATGAGGGCGTTTTTCACGAAAAATTTGTTCCGCGACACAACCACGCAACTTGAAGACGGTGCAAGAATCCTGACACAGGAACTCAGAATTATTAACTTAAAACTGTATATGAATTGTCACTTAGTTCTTCGTTGCAGTTGAAAAAAATAAATACAAGTCTGCACATTCGAATAAACAACGTAATTTGTTCTAACACAAGAATCCACAGTCAATTCTCAATCCTGCACGGACTGTAATTTGCAGGAGACGTGCTGCTGGATTTCGGCCGAGCACCCAAATGGAACTGCCCGATCCCTGACCCGGACACAACCACCGCGAGGAAGCAGACACCTGCAGCCGAACCGGAACTGCGTCCTTCAGTCGAGGCCACGTCTCGCTCCCCACCAGCCACCCCAGCACCCGCTCCGAAGACAGACGCGTGGGAAATACCGGCCATCCAGTGCTACGAACCGGAGGACGGCGTTTTCTACGCGCAGATGGGCCCCACTGGAGGGAAGAGGGGCTACCCCGCCATCACAGGTTCGTGGGGGGGCCTTCCGTCAGCTCACAAGCGATCGACCAGTCGCTGATTATTCCTGTCTGTCTTTAACCCTTTGAAGCCGAAGATCGTCTAAATATTATTTATGAATTCAGTCCGTACCGCGAAGAAAACACTACACCTCACCATTACGAAAATCAGCTCGTTAACCCTTTGAAGCCGGAGCTCGTCTTCATAATATTTACGAATCCAGACCGTACCGCGAAGAAAACACTTCACTTAACCATTAGAAGTCGAATCAGGCGGTACCACATAAGATTTAACAAAAGAACATCCCGGTCAAAGCCTTAAAACCGTGAAATGAATTTTATAAACGAGGAAGAACGCGTGGCGTAGCCATTAACAAAACAGAAAAGAGCTATCACGTAAGAAACTTGACGGTCTCGGGAACAGCAAGGTGCGATTAAAAAATCGCACTCGACTTTTGGAAAATCTTCTCAATCGCGCTTTGGTCTGCATACGTCACCGTTCCTCAAACACTTCCCCAAGGCGGATTTGCTACAATACGGATTCGTGTGAACTAGGCTTATATTTTCGTTAATATGCTAATACATTTCAGCGCGCATTACAACGTACAGAAAAAAATTAACAGATTAGCAACTTCTCAGTGACAAGAAATGAATCACAACAGTGATAAGACATTAAGATTAAAAATAGATGAACCAACTCCTAGAACGCTCAGTAAGGAACAGATTCAAATAATCGTGAAAAATAATGACGCCGCCGATATTACGACGATCTCTGAACAGCTGTTAAACTGTGAAGCTGTGTTACACTAGGTCCACGTGGCGATGCGCACGCCACGACGGTCGAGGTACTAACACGCTCGTTCGCGGTTTGCAGGTCACGTGGGCTGGGGAATCTCCTGGTACATAAACGGCCTCCTCATACCCGAGATCAACGTCGTACGAGGAAAGACGTACACCTTCGTGGTCGAGGGAGGGCTCGATCCGGAGACCCCTGCTAGATACCACCCCTTCTACATAACAGATGACCCCATAGGAGGTTACGAACACAAGACTCGAGAAGAACGAGCGGTAAGTTTCGTCACAAGGTGTACCACTACTTGGCTCTGTTTCCGTGCTCAGTGAATCCGGTAGTTGCTCAGATAGACCCTGTTCATCATCTGTCATCACGGAATTCTACAGGGTGGTCCAGAATGTACCTACCAAGTTTAATGCTTTATTTAACCTGAACTACAGGCATAAAAATGTCATCCAAGTATCACCCCAATGAACATCTCAAGACATTTATGAAACGCTCGGCTCTGACAATTTTTTCGTAATCTCGTCCCAAAGTTGTGAGATCACACTTTGGATCCTGTCTGGCAAAATTTCTTCAAATTATAATCACTCATTGCGGAGAAATTTTGAGTTTGCAGTTGGTAGGTACATTTTGGGCTTTAATGCTACAAATTATTAGGAATCCCATCACAGCCTCTAGTAAAACACGCCTTTTTCGTTTGTAGGCGGTTCGCATTTTTGCCGGGGCGCGACAGAACCGTCGTGGTGACGTGTACCCCACTGCGACCGGAAGATTGTGCAACTGGAAGCCTGACCCCACTCAGCCCCTTGCAGAAGAGTTCACGTCTTTCGGCGCCTACCAGCGAACACTGAGTCTGGAGTGTGATCAGGGCGAGCCGGGAATCCTGCAGTGGACGCCCGACAAGAACACGCCAGCCACCGTCTATTACCAGGTACAACAAGTGACGACTCATTCTTTCCAACTCGTAACAAAATCGCTGTTTTATTTAGGCCAGTCGAAGCATTTCGTGCAGAGAGCGGTTTAAGAGGGCAGTGGTCGTTGTCTTCCGCGAAACAAAATACTCCGCACTAGATTAGCTTCTTGGTTGTTTAGTTGGCGCGCGACTCACTCATCGCCCTGACGATGGAGGCAGTAAGCTTCTCTGAAATGTCGGTGAATGTCTACAGACCCAGAAAACATCCACTTTAATCACTTCGTAGAAAACGCGCATTACCAAAAGTTGGGTTTACTGCTGCATATTCGACAGAACCGAATTGGGCCCCATCCTAACCTCTGGACTCTTTTCGTTGTTTTCCCGCGGCCCTCCAGGCAAATTATTAGATTCTGCCTTGTTCCACATCCTAACTCGCTCTTTGCAACATTTAGAGCTGACGTAGTATCGCGTAAATAAACCAATAAGCAAAATTAGTCTCAGTTACTATATCCATTCACATTAATTTTTATTTTTCTACGCTGGGTAAAAATACAACCGACGCATTCCCGCCACAACCGCGAATCAAACCCCTGACGTCCAGCTCGTAGCACTCACTGTGCTCACCGAGATATCCAGATTTTATTGTTACTGCAAGCAACGAGATCTGAGGTGAAGGTGTTGTAGATTGTGGAGTTCCGGTTTGTGACGTCGTGTGGTTTCAGAGGAACGCATAGCCTCCCGCAAGACCAAAATCAGCAGTGAAATCAAATCCAGTTTCGTACAACAAGCTTGGGCGAATACCACATTCAAACGTCATTTGCAATCTTCCTTAAAACATTGCTTTGGCTACTCATGGAAATCAGAATTGTACATGCACTGACCTGTGTTGTAGTTCCCTCTTACGTTCAGGATACGGCAGCCAAAAACACACATTATTAATTAAACTTTTCGTCTTCAATGTCCACTGCACTTCACTTTCACATCCGCCATCGAAACTTAATACACGCCGAATACCAACCAAGACTATGACAATGATGGCCACCAGATGTCTCGTATTCACAGACATCACGCTGTAATCACTTAATACCAACTGCAGATTATTATTCTGTGAAACTCAATTACGAATGCATTGAATGTCGCGCTAGTTTGTCTGTCGTTTTATTTTAAATTTATTGGAGTTAGAAGCAATGCCGTGGAGTAGAATGTTAGGAAAATAAATGAGTCAATAATGTTCCAGTTTGAATGCAGTAATTAGCAAGCAACCTCAGTTAGCCAACCAATTTAGCCTGTCACTTATGGTGTAAATATAATAAGCAAGTGTTGGTACCTTTGATGGTTGCTTTTTTTAGAATATTTTGGGCCTTATGGGATAACATATATTCACTGTTTTAAATTGTCCTTTCATTCTAAATAGAGAATTTACCAAGTCTTTTTATATATTTGCACCAAATTTGGTATTCCTGTGTCTTGAAACCAAAAAGATATTTTGCAAAGGTAAAGGGGAAATGTCCTGGGTTCGAGTCCCGGTGAGGTTAAGTTCTGTACTATGACCAAAGTTATTTGTTTTCGACGAGTAATTTACATGACAAAAGCCACAATCCCCCTAAAAATCTGTCCTGGGTTTGAGTCCCGATGAAGATAGTATCTGTAACTTGAAAAGTAAGAACATTAGATAAATGGTTACAAGGCCAAAGTTGTTTGTTTTGGCGAGGAGGTAACAACCACGGAAAACTTTCGTAGATTTAAGTCCAGTTAAGATATCACCTTGGAAACTAATGATGGAAGAACATTTTGGATAGGAGATTACAGGGGCAGATACCACAGCGCCAAAATGTGTCCCGAGTTCTTGTTCTGGCGAAGATGGTTATTCTGTACATTTAGAACTTTGATTGAGCAATAATGAACTAAAAGCATCTCCAATAACAAAATTCTTATCTTCAGATAAATTAGCCCCCAAAGTGATGTAATAGGACAAGAATTGAGGTTAAACATTTAAGGAAGAAAATAATATACGCCACATTTATAACAGAATGTGCAAAATGAGAAACCCCATTTTATTCTAAGAATACCATTTAATACCAAAACATTTAGTTTGCCATTAAGCTACATTTCACTGTGACAGTCAATAAAACTCAAATAAATTGGCATCAATTAAGAGAGAAATTTTCTTTCACGTGGACAGATCAAAAGTTGATTTTGCAAAAGGCTTAAATATGCCAAATGTCTGTAACAAAAAGTGGCTTTGAATTTTCATCATAGGAACACTTGAATTCTCAAGAATAATTTAAGTTAATATTTTCATATTAAGTCATTATTAAAAAAAACTGTAAATACAGTTTCTTATTCAGACAGATTCTTCTGTGTTTATAAATTCCAATAATTTTCACGAACAAAAATATTAAATAACAATTTAATTAATTTATTTTCTCACTTTGCCACTATATAATGTATTTCAGGATTCTACAAATTTATCGTGCGTGTAACTTGGGGCGGAAGAAACTGCCCAATTGCTATTCAAATTTTTATACAGAAGGAGTGGGTAAAATCCTAAAAAAGAATATATTTGGTACTAATTACTGCAGATGATTAAGGATAATTTTTCCTATAATATTCAGTGATAAGGATTGAATGATGAAACCTGTGATAATCTCCGGTGAAGAAATGTAAATATTTGTTTAACTTTCCTGCAGGCCCTGTTAGCAGTGTGTCAGTAAAGACAAAAATAAACTGATGTAATCAATCACTTCGAAAACTAACATTCAATTATAAGCAACATTTCTATTGACATCAATTAATATTAACAAAATGGCAGACTTAATTTTATGAACCGAATGCACGTATTTTGCACATTTATACAACTTCTTCATCTTGCCGTCACAGTTGCCGCGCAGTCCGAGGCGTGGGCCTTGTGCCGCTTGGTCGCTGGGACCGTGGGTTCGAATCCCACTCAAGCCATGGATGTTTGTCCTGTGTACAGGTAGAGGCCTTGCGACGGGGCGATCCCTCGTCCAAGGAGTCCTACCGAATGTCTAGATAGATCAAGCAAATCTCCAAAAAGGGAGGAAACAAGCAGACCCCGCCAAAGTGGGACAAATGCTAAAGAAGAAGATAGATCTTCTTCATCTTCTTCCTCCAGAAGGATCTGACATGTTGCAGACCATTCTAAAGTTCAGTAATTAAAATGATTTAATGTGGAAGGATATGTATGAAGAATCAACCGCAGGAAATTTCATTCGAAGTAAATAATGCATGTATGCATATAGTTTCTTAAGCACATATTGTCTTCTTATAAAGAAATAACGTAGTCCCTTCTTACGTCACACTAGTGCTTCTCGCATCGCTACCTCGGCTGGAAGATAAATGTGTTGGATAAGTGCGACGCCACGCCAGATCTCATCCCCGGCCGCGTACCAGCAGACGAAGAAGATTTGAATGACGGTGAAGATGATGAAGAAGGGGAGTTGCAGTCCAGACCAAGCATTCAGGTGTCAACTCGGGTCAAGACAAATGACGTATTTTTCAACGCAAAAGACGAATTTTCAAAACAGTCAGAACACAACTACATCCCACTGACGGAGTTTTCTCAACTTCCCCCTGACGACCGGCAGAAGTTCCAACAGGAATTTCCTTTCTCATACGAGTCTGTCACAACCGAGTCGGTTGTACCGGGTGAGGACAACATCAGAAACGCTTTCGTGCCACCTTCGCCCCTGCTGAAAGAACCAACTTATGCCGGAGGATCACCTTCAGGTGAGATTAAGACATTTGCCTAGAATATAAATTAAATAAATGACAATAGATCAATTTCTAACTGATTCATTAATTAGAGGAAGCACAACTTAAGAATACCGCTGATTAATAATTTACTCCTTTGCAGAAAAATATCTTCAAGGGCCTTTGTTTCAGGCATGTCAATGTTTAATAATAATAATAATAATAATACGGTTTATAAAATATTAAATGTTTAAAAATGTGTCAAGAAAGAACCATATTCAGTTTGCAATGACTCGTTCCTCAATTTTCTGTAATTATTAGAAATAAAAATTAAAATATTATGCCGACAGTAATAAATACAAATATGTTTTGAAGCTGTAATTTCCTGACATATTTATGCATTCAATTACAAACAGAATGTAAGTTGTAGGTCTGTTTAGGCTAAACCCCACTGCACTTCACTTTAAAATCATTAATAAAATGTGCCAGCTCTTTGGAAATCAGAATAATAGAATTGTTTGCTTAACGTTAACAACCGGAGTCTATAAAAAAATCACGACATCCTTGAATGCCTCCTAAGACTACAAATAAACCCATTCTGTAGTGGCTGGTCTGTTTTTTGCAGGAGAGACACTTTTTTAAAGAGTAGACGTAAAAACAAACATTGGACTGTATAAAAAAATATTCAAAAAATTACAAAATTTGAGGTTCAAACGCAAGGAGAAAGAAGATGGTGATCTTTTGCGATGCAGTACTGTGTGGTCTGGCAGAGAGTGACCAACATTTCAGAAGAGTTACTGCCATCAACAGGGTCATCAAATCGCCTGACTACACGGTACTACATACAAGAAAACAGCCATCTTCTTATTAATACGCCCATCATCTAATTACTATGGGAAACGCGTCCTTCATTATCACACTCAGTGAAAACAAATTTTTCAGTACCAAGTATCTATAGTTATCAACACAAAGACTACCAGATACATACAATCTTGTCTTGAGGTATGAGAGTCACAGCTATAATCCATATGAACCAGCGTAAGTCCGTAGTACCTGAGAACAAAGCATATGATTTGGAATTAACTTGGAAATAAGCAATCCAGTACTCCATTATTATTGCCAGTTACTTGTGTTTGCAGGTCTAGTACAAGACACAAACAATGACACCCTGGTTGCGGTAAGAGATGATTATTTCCTAGTGAACGACAGTCATACGACACAGGTGGAGACCCAGCACTTGGCTGACAGCCCAAATTCTTCTGGATTTGATACTGAGTATCCAAAACAAACTACAGTTTCAACCATAAAATTAAATCCTTTTATTCCTGGTGTCCAGACCACAATACAGAATACTACGATGTTCGATAGTGCAGCTGCACCGCAGGAAATAAATCTGGCGCAGAATTCTGTAGTAGTCCCCGTGGATCCCAAGAGGACACCTGTCCTCCACGCCACCACACCACTACCTGTCACGAACTACTCATCAGTGTCTGATTCTAAGCAGAAACCAGAATTAGAGGCATCACCTACGTCATCCGTCAGCGTGACATCAGACAACAAGGTCAAGATGCCTGTGGTCCCAGTGCTGCTGAGTCCCGGACTGATGAGCCTGCACACGACCCTCATCCCTCAAGGGTATGGTCGAATCCCCGTGCACCCACAGCTGATGTTCCAGCGCCCTATGCATCCCTACAGCATGGTATCACTGCTGCGCCGCCCTGTGCCACACCACCCTTCCGCCTACATGTATGCAACCTCTGCTTCCAATCAGCACAATTACATCATCAAGAAGCCATACTACCGGCCAGCTCCTGTCCGACCAATGAGCATTGCGCCCCAGTTTCAACGCCCCATGGTCAAGACACGCATTCCGCTACAGCAAAGCTCCACAGCCCTCAAAACCACCTATCACTTCACCCAGCCCCTTAAGCTCCACAAGGTATCCACCAGCACTACAACTCCCTTACCTGATCCACCACAGACCGAATCAGACAAAGCAACGTCCATAAAGCCTTCTCCACCCATCCTTCCATCTGACATCACTGTGCTGGACCCTAATGACTCCCACATCCCTGTAGCTATCAACACCGGCTTCAACCCTCACTCTGTCGTGGTTGAAGGGGGATTCAAACCCATCATTAAGAGCAAGAGTGCACAGGCAGAAGACAGGTCCACAGTAGAGGATGAGGAGCCTGATGCTGGCAACAGCAAAACAGAGGAGACAATATTGGAACTTGGATCGGAAGTTGTGGAGGCCATCGCTGATGATGACAGGAAGAACAACCCATTTCAGGGACAGCAGCCTGAGACATTTGAACCCATCTTCATTCCATCACCACCAGACAGAAACGCTGCACAGAATGGCTCTAACGTCAAAAAGCCAATCTTGGCCGAGGAACTGACTCCACCTGCGGCGCACCTGAACCACCGCCACAGCCCGGAGCCAAACAGAAAGAATGGGCAGCCATTCATGATGATACACCCGCGACCTGGGTTAGTGCGTCGCCCTCTGTTCCCCAACAACATCATGCCACCTTTCCGTATCCCGGTCAGAGGTGGGTCTCCCACATTCAGGTACCAGCAGTCAGACGATTACACTGAAGGTGAGACGCCAATGGCAGCTGAGCGCATGGACAGCTACCTTCCACTGGATGATAGCTCCATCCCGTCAGTTGTGGTTACCTACGACGGCAAATCCGTCGAATCATCAATTCCCCCAGCACCAGCTGCAATGAGGGATGTCAGATTCCCAGTTGGTACAGCAGATTTGATCAGAGCAACACCACAATTTGCACCATTCCAAGGAGAAGTCCCACCACCTGTGCCCAACGTGATCAGCCCAGAGAGCATTCCGCAGCTCAGTAAGGAAAACCAGCAGCGGGCACAGACGCTACCAGAACAATTCAAACAGCAGAACGATGGATTTTCACGCCTTCCACCAATTGAAAGATCGCAGTTTGCCTTG